AGAGAGAGACAGAGAGAGAGAGAGAGAGAGAGAGAGAGACAGAGAGAGAGAGAGGGAGAGAGAGAGAGAGACAGACAGAGAGAGAGACAGAGAGAGACAGAGAGAGAGACAGAGAGAGAGAGAGACAGCACATCTTCACTGTGGTGGAGCAGCTTCACCTCCACATCGTCAGCCTGGAGGTCACTCGTGTTTCATATGGTTTCATTTTGATCTGTGTGGACGTACTAAAGAAATCTTGTTTGAAAATTACCCAGCAGCCCCCGGGTGTCCTGAGAGTCTGCTGTCCCGCTGCTATCAGAGCATACAAGCTTTTCTAAAGAGTAAAGTTCATGACCTGTGAAATGGCAGAGTCATAAACCACTGTCAGACAACACACTCGCTGACTGCTTAATGACTTATTAATGCAGCATTAATGCTCTCTGCTGCGTGTGTGTGTGTGTGTGTGTGTGTGTGTGTGTGTGTGTGTGTGCGTGCGTGTGTGTGCGTGTGTGTGGAGTATAACCAGCAGCGTAACGATATTTCACTGCTGTGTGCAGCGCAGCAAACTTTCACACTCGACTGTCCCTGAAGACACATCGAGGCGGCAGCGAGTCAGTCAGCAGTTTGTGATGCGAGAGTAAAAACACACACACACACACACACACACACACACACACACACACACACACACACACACACACACACCACGTGGAAGCGTAACAGAGAGAGCAGCTCATTTGAAGATGAAAGGAAAAGTCAGCAGGGTTCATCCTCTGGGAACCACGAACGCCTGAAGATAATCCTCCAGTCCTCCATCCGCAGTAAACACAGAGCGAGAGTTAGCATTAGCACAACCGTTAACAAGCTAACAAACAACATGAACTAATGAAGGATGCTAACTACGTTAACTGTTCTGATATGTTCTGCTAGTTGCTGATTTTGGTCATCTGAGTCTGAGTCTCTCTGCTGTTTCCTCTAATGCTAACCATCTCACTGCGGCAGTGGGCGGGGCCTGGTCCAGAACTTGTAGTTCTGCTTCCCGCCACTTTTCAGAGTGTTTTTATTCCTCCACGCCGTTGACAATCAGAGCAGGAGCCATATTGTTTTTAGGTGGACACGATATCTCCGTAAAGCTTCGACAGAACTTCCTCAAATGCGGCACAAACATTCAACTTGAACTTTGGTAGCTAAAGGTCAAAGGTCAGTGCGACCTCACGAGCCATTACTCAATTCTTCCATGATCAGCTGATGCTCGTGACCTCCACTGCTCATTTTGTGTGTTTCTTATTGTCATTTACTCTCTTTGCTTTTTCTAGTAATGTTGTATTTGTGAGTTTAGTTATTATTTTTTATGTGGTTATGTGCTACAGACTAAAAGCTAAAAGTTCGGTGGTTACTAGGCAACAGCTGGAAACTCGACACCCACCTGTAGAAGTGAGCCTTGATTCGCTCTTTGATCAGCCACAGCGGATGATGCGGTTGGTTGTGGAGGTTGCGGCCGACCTTGGCCAAGACTTTTGCCGTCACGTTGGTGAAGTCGTCGCGGGGGTAGGACCGGCCCAACACCTCCACCGAGCCCTGACCGACCGTGGGCCGAGGGGCGGGGCCGTCTGTGCTGAGGCGCCTGCGTGATGCTGCGCCGCCATTGGTCGAGAGCGTGGACAGACAGCAGCGGCTGAGCAGAGGGAGGGGCGGGGACTGTAGGAGGGGGAGGAGCAGGGAGAGGGGGTTGGTGCCGAGTCTCATGATGATTGGTCCATGGAGCTGGAAAGACATTAGAGAAACATCAGAGACATTAGACACTTGACACTTAAGGTTTAATTTCTCCTTAGCTGAGGGAGTTACTTAAGGGTCTTGCTCAGAATCTGTTAAAAGGTTTCTGTAGTTAAGGAAAAAAGTAAAGTAATTTACAACAGTGAAAGAGATTTTACAGCAGTCAAAGTCTAGCGTTTCCATGGAGACTGTTGACTTGCTGCCATTAGCACTTGTCACTTCTGGCGGGGAATATTAAAGATTCCTCCTTCATCAAGGTGAACTTTAAGTGACTTTAAGTAATTCCTGAAATTTAATGGAAAGATAAGGAGAAAATAGTAAAGTGAAGAAAACCTTAAGGAGAAGACTTGAGGGTGTTTTATTTTAAGGAAACTTAACTTCACTCAGAGTTTAAGGGAGATCTTAACTTGAGGTGTTTTGTGAAATCAGCCCCCGGCTCTTTAGCTGCTAAACTCTCCACTATGTTCAGCAGCTGCTCTCTGACCTTGTCTGGGCCAGCGCTGGGCCGGTGCCGGCCAGGTCTCGGCACAGACCAGTTTTAGTTCTCACTGTTCAGTCGTCAAATTTATAATTTCACTTGACAGTGGAGAGGGAAACGAGCAGGAGGTGAATCAGAGCTGCTCATAAAAAACACCAGACCAGCTTCTTAGTGGAGGTCAGGGGAGGCGAGGCACACACACACACACACACACACACACACACACACACACACACACACACACACACACACACACAAACAGACAATTTATTTATATCATTATAATTACACTAATGGACAGAAACAACAAAGGTTAAAATGAGACACTGATGAGACTCAGATGAATTCTGTTTCTCTTTGTTCTTTCATCATTTATCCTTTGACAGGAGACGAGACAATCTGTCCCCGTCACAATATTTGTCCACACACACACACACACCACACACACACACACACACAACACACACACACACACACACACACACACACACACACACACACACACTAACAGGGAGCATCCCTGAACAAGACAAAGGGTGTTGCATTGCAGTGGCATTGCAGCAAAATGGATTATTGTTCCTAAATCCAAGCTTTTACCTCAGCTCTGCTGCTGGTGTCATATTATACTCGACTGGACAGGGCAGTGCTGAGGTCACACACACACACACACACACACACACACACACACACACACACACACACAGACTACAAAACTGATTCTTGGGTAAAGGTTCGTTTCAAGGTCATTTTGACTTCAGGCTTAAAAGGAAAATACATGGAGGCATCACTTTGAGGTGATGAAGCAATAAAAGCAGCGACAGCGGCCCCCTACAGGCCACAGGGAGAATTACACCTGATAATATCAAACGGTTTGACCGAACGGACAAAAAGCTGAAGATATTTTGTGGAATAAAAGCTATGAAATCAACAAATAAAACATGAATATGTTCAGTAAAGGTCACAGCAGCTTGGCCGTTATTTTTTTTCTGTATAAAGTTCATGATTTGTCCACAGGCCGGCGCTACAGGAAAGGTCACGGATCCTCTCTGTACAACATGACCGCTCTGACATCATAAACATTAATGTACTTGTATGGAGTGAAACATTAAAAAGAGGAAAACTAAATGTCATATATTTAATGAGTGACCACCACCTAAGCTGTCTTTAATAGGTTTGTGTTGATCTGTGTTGAAATGATTTGATTTCTGAGTCGAGATGTTTGAGTTGATTTATGTAGAAGTCGACCTCTGACCTGTGGAATCCCACAGGGAAGCGATTTAGGCCCCTTTATATTTTCATTTAATGTTAACATGGAATCTATTGGTGGTGACATTTCAAGTTTCAGTATCATCCATGTTTATTTATTTATTTGATAGGGAAGATGCAATTTAACATAGTTTCAAAACAAAGCATGAAACTAATGTGTTGCACAAAGAGTTCACAGCTGTGGTCAGTTGTGTGTTTCATCCATCAAGTGTCAGAAAACAGAAGCTACAGCCAGAGAAAATGATGTAAACACTTAAACTGTGATGTTGTTGTTGTTGTTCAGGTCTGATCGAATCGTAAACAGAACTTTGGATTTTCCTCTGAGTCTCAGTGAAGCCGTCGTCCTGCACTCAGACTCTCTGAGGACCTGACAAATGTCTGGAGAGATGAAGACGCCTTTCATCTCACACGACGACAAAAGGTCATGTGACATTTCAGGTGATATGTGTTGGTGTATGACTTATTTAAAAGACACAACTCCAGAGGAAATAAAATCTGCAGCTTTTGTTTCTGATGGTATATCCTCTGAAAAAAAAACCTTTCCTCCATCTCGGCTTCACGTCTCTTTTTTTTTGTTTTTTCCCTCTCCATGGGACTGACCTTCCTGGCATGTGACCATCACCATATGTCTGTTCCCATGGCGCCGAACACCACCACACGTACACATATGGACGCCTACGCACACGGACACACATGAACAGTAAACACACACACACACACACACACACACACACACACTGTTTGTAATAAACTGAAGAAAACAAAGACAGAGAGAGAAGCTGAGATTTAAAACAACATCATGATAATCTGATTGTTTATATCAAATATTATTAATTTAAAAGAAAACATTTACACATGAAATAAAACAAAAAAGTCGTCACAGCTTCAATAAATGAACTGCTGAGTATTTATTTAAATTGTAATTTCACCGACAGTAACAGGTGATGAAAAGCACAGGTAGAGGAGAGGTCAGAGGTCACACAGACATGCCGGTCACCCCTGAATGTTATCTGATTTGGGAAATAAAGATGGACGTCGCCTCTGTGATGTCACCCACAGGTTTCTGAAGCTCAGAGTGAGCTGCTCCACCGTCACCATCTTGGCGGTGTCTGACTCCGCCCCTAACTCCCAGCTAATCTAAAAATGGTCAAAGAGGAGGGGTGTGTGGGGAGCGAGGACTTTGATGTATGCCGATTTGTCTCAATCATATGCTCAGCCACCTGTCACTCAGAGAGGCCACGCCCTCAATCTTCGTTAACTTTAGTCCTTAATAAAATGTAAACAGGTGAGTTATATAAACAGGTGAGTTATATAAACAGGTGTCATGAAGGAGGAAATCAGCTCTAGAGACCAAAACAGTTTCTGTACCAGGCTGTAAACATGTTTATTTCTGCTGTAAAGTTGGACATTTTAACATGGGAGTCTATGGGGACTGACTCACTGTTGGAGCCAGACTCTAGTGGTCGTTAGAGGAACTGCAGCTTCTGGTTCTTCAGTGTTGAACTTAGCAACCAGCTAGCTAACACTCAAGTCCAGGTGATTATTCACCTGCTTCCTCGGTGCAGATCATCATCACAACTCTTCAGGAGTGATGTAATATTCTCAGGTGTCATTCAGGCTTTATATTCAGCTCATTAAGATCTTTATTCATTTTCTCTTTCTGCCTGTCAGTCGCTCACACCTCATTTCCATCAACCACCTCTGTCATGTGTCATTTTAATGGAGAGTTGATCAGAACTAATACAGATCCAGGTATGAGGGATGAGTCTGAGGCAGAGACACTGATGTGAGGAAGAGAAACATGATTCATCATGTGGGAAAGTTGCTGAGAAAATCCCTTCGTTCGCTGCCAAGAAGTTGTTCTGACTAACCAGCGTGGCAGCAGCCAACAGTGAAGCTGTGATGCGACTTCTGACGCTGCCAGCTGAAGAAAGGTGGAAACAGAGACGCCGCCAAGGACGAGCTGCAGTCCGCCGTCCAAAAAAAAAAAAAAAACACACCCACTGCTCCTCAAAAAAAACGAGAGAAACAAATGGAGGAATAAGCTTATAAATGCGTGTGAGAGTGAAACAAATCTCCGAGCCTCGACAGCGTTACCGTGACAGAAAGTGAAGGCTGCAGGAAATACGACGCCGCAATCGCCGAGGTTACAGTGTCGCAGAACACACACACGAGTGACATCTGCACATGCTACACAAAAGATATAAGGCCTGTTAACAAACACACACACACACACACACACACACACACACACACAGTTTCCAGCAGCAGCTTTAGTGCAGAGGGATTCATTCAGCCTCTAAAAAGTGACACGCTGATAGAGAGAGGTGATAAATTACATACTGCAGAGAGAGACAGGGATCGGCCTATAGAGAGAGATACTGCATATACAGTATATGTAGGGTGTGTGTGTGTGTGTGAGTGTGTGTGTGTAAAGATGGCTGCAGAGTCTTATTGTTCCCACTTTCTTGGATCCACAGGCGGGAAATTACCTCGTGAAGATGATGTGTAACGTCATTAGAAGTCATATTGCTGAACAAACTCTGGTTTCACTTCTGCGTTAATGTTCAAGTTCTCGTCACAAACACGATCTGCTGTTTCCTTCTAGTGCAGCAGATAAATAATCATCTTTCAAGATGGCTGCTATTTCATGCAAAGAAAACACAGAGTTTTACCCACAGGACGGATTTCAATGTATTTACAAACCATCTATTATGAATGAGAGTCGACAGTCTTAACATTAGCTTGCTTGTCTTGCTAGTGCTAGGCTAGTTAGCAAGCTTTTTTAACTTTTATTTTTTTGTAATATTTTTGCTGAAACATACTTTCATGTAATTTTTACAGTGTACTAAGTTTCACCTTCGACACTGTTAAAATGTTTGATTTGACACCTGGATTATTCACATCAGAAAATAGTGGATGAAAAAAACATTTCTTTTCCAAAAACGGCAGCCATCTTGAATTTTCAAGTGGCTACAGCAACAGGTTGGTGAGCCAATCAGAACAGAGGCTCTGAGCTCTTTCTATCATTAACCTGTTGAGTGGATGAACCATCAGCTCCGCTAACCTCTTTAGGAGTTAATGAAGTCGCTTCTCGCCGTCGTCACACCTAAGACACGCCCCTAGCTGCAGGTAGCTCCTCCCTCACAGGCCGCTGGAAAAAGGTGGACGCTCACCTGTGAGGTTTATTCTCTCATCATTGCACCTGCCTCAGATCTGATCCAGAGAATGACATCACTTCCTGCGG